CTCCCCCTGACTACAAGACCAAGTTGAAATAACGAGGTCAATCCACTTCTATAAATCGAAAGGAAACTGCGACCATAACAGAGGCCACAACATCTTGGTCTTCATATATTCAAAAACAAAGTAGATTGGCTTTACTGGAACATTCATGCTGACGCTGTTTCCGAGGTAATCTCCTTCGATTCCGATGAAAAATGGCTAAACGTTCGTGCGTCATATGACGGACATCATCAGAGCGAGGTATTATCGTCACAACAAAATTCAAGCTAACGAGTCAAGAACAATCACCGCCAAATCTCTAAAAAGTGGTATATATACTCTACATCTGGCCTCTGTGATCAATTATAAAGTGGTTCGGTTAGTTACGTTCATATGTCAACTTCAGAGCCTATGAATGTGTCTGTCTCTGTATGTGTATGTGCCTGTTTGTGTTCGCTTATGCACGAAACTCGCAGTGGGGGCTCGAAGTAATGAGGACAGCAAAAGTAACGTCTGTTTTCGGTCATCAAGGTTTGATGACTCCTATCTCCCCATTCGAATGTCTTCACCAAATACTTTCACTCGAAATTGAAATAAGCACAACAATTATGAAACGAGATTTCTCGAAACCCAGCTTTTCTTCTCATAAGAACAAAGTAGCCAACCAAATCACGGAATGCCCTGTTACTATCGCAAATTGAGGTAGAGGAAGTAGGTATAATTTCAGCCGGCCGCCTTACTTGGTTCAAGGTTTTTGCATAATTGTTCGTTAATGATGGTTTCTGGGTCTGGTGGTGTTCGTTACATGACCCATGAAAGCTAGGTACGGATGGCTTGGGGCCGCAGGACCGTGGGATGAGACCATCTTCTCACAATCCAATAGTCAAAAGGTCACGACAACCCTTAACGTAGCAGGTGCGGCCAAATGACGAATCCCTTCCAGCCGCCTTTTCAAGCGAAATGAAAGGTATGCAATCATGACCTGGTTGTTTTCTTCTAGATTCGGCTTTATTTGGACATGTTTTATCTCACTTTTGGCATTCATCAATCTTAAATCAGGCAACCTGAACGTGAATGTAGATGTCCTATCCTTCTAGAAAGTGTTGATCGGCAGCGTTTTAAGCCCCAAACTGTTGGTGTGCAGATGGAGAACTATATGGCTTAGGTATGATGAGAGCTAGCAAAACATGCCGGCCAATGTAGAACATGAGAGTTTGAGGAATTTGTCCGATCAAGTGGCGTAAGTTACTTAGTTCAATCTCTCGAGTGAATTAAAAAAAGCTATCTACTAGTTTGCATTTTTGCAAAAAGATCCCTTTATGTTCATCATTCCAGTCGTCAGGACCTCGTCGAAATCAAGCCTCGCCCTAAGGGGACTGGAATTCAACCATTTAATCCACCAAGACACCAAGCAGCACTCGACCGTCCCCTATACCACCCGCGAACCTCCTCCGAATTGTGCTCCTAGTCGCCCAATGGGCGAATCGGTAAACACTAACTCTGCGCCAGGAAGATATTTGATCACACCTGGATTAAATGGTAAAGCCCCAGATTTTCCTCCATTCCAGCATGAATACGTGAATCTTGCGGAAATGCGAATGTTCCCGTAGGCATGTGAATGTGGGCATGCAACTGTGTATTCATGTGCGCCAACTCGGTGTGATCGTAGGCATATACTTACGTGTGTCGGGCAGTTTTGCAGGTAGCGTGCACCGGAAAATGGGTGTGCATTCAGAGACGTTTACGGGACAAGCCAACATATCCTTCAGGATGCTGACTCGAGTTGTCGGTACTGCACAATCTCAAGTTTGGCTGGGCTTTACCAATTCTCTTCTTTCAACCCCATCTGCCCTCGTCCGTCAGACAAGAACATTTGCGTGTCTCTGCTCCTCCATTTTGCCTGGTACCACGTTACGAAGGCGTCCGCTATGCTGTATGCCACCTACAACCTCGTCTGTGTACAGGCGTGTCGCGGGCTTTGCCTTCTAGCATCTCTATGCCTTTGTGGACACGTTTGCTCCACCCTTCAGCAAATTTGTTTCCTTTCGTCCCGCAAAGCACCGCAAATTAGAATATGGCTTCGCAGGCATTTAATACTTGCGCACGCATGAGACCTGTGCCGATTCGTAAATGCAGACACCCAGTCGTGCACAAGGTGTTCCCGGCGAGAGTACTTATGTGAAATAAACGGGACAGATTTCAATTCTCCCCGGTGGGATACGAAGACCGAGGGAGATCAACCGTCTTGGAACCCTGCAAGCACACACACACACACACACACATACACACCTATATATTTATATAAATGCATAAATACAATCGCACAAACACACAAAGTCGCACATGCATATGGGTGCACAGTTCTGCACACCTTTGTTATTTTATATAAAATATGTCCAACGAGCCGTGGTTTATGTTTATTTTTATACAGACTAATGCGCTCTATTTAAATAGCTTCCCATCACTTTCTGCCTAGCCTACCACTATACTATCCCACACACAGACATTGGGCTTCCTTGATGATGTTGCCACGAGTACAGCTGGTCTTCGGGTGAGCCTCTACCACTTCCTTTCTCCCCAAGCCGTTTACACTACCGGTTAAGTGCATCTGTAGCTTCTGTCTACAGGAGGGTGCTTCAGCAGATAAGGCGGGTTCTGCACACACATACACAACCATTACCATAGCCATCGCAACCACCCACAGCCGGCATTTGAAGTCCGACCTGAAGAAGGTGGGCCGGAAGACATGAAGATGAGCTAAAGATAGAATCGACGGAATGTCAATCCCTGGATCTTTTCGATGCAAATCGCTGCCAAGTAATGCCAAAATGTCCTTTTCGGAGGGTTAAAAGGTTTCTTCTATACGAGGAGGCGCATTCAAAGACAGTGAATAAGCGAAAATGCGTTTGCATAAGTGCACTTCTACTAAGCTTCTTTTGAGTCAGGACAACTTTAGAAAACGAAGCTAGCAATACCAAGATGGTGTAGCCCCCGGTATGGTCGCAGTCTCCGTTCGAGTTATAGAAGTGGGTCGACCTCGCTGTTGCAACTTGGTCTTGTTGTCAGGGCGAAATCCTCTGCCATAGTAGAATAATAATTCCCATCACCAGACAGTCGATTTGGTACATTCTCAGACGTTTCGCCGACGTGCGGAGAATGGCAATGCTCACTCATGATGCAACGAAACTTCTGAGAATGTATCAAATCCACTGTCTGATGCTGGGAGTTATGTTAACTACAATGACAGAGGATTTCGGACAAGATGCGTTCTACTAAGTCGCCTTGACAACAATAACAAGTAGTGACAACTTTTAGAAAACTAGATTAACCCAACAATTATTTCCTTCAAATTGGTTCGATTTCGGTTTCACGAATTGGTCGCGTTTTCAGCGCGGCTTAGTTGGACGCACCTTGTCCGAGGTCTTCTGTCATAGTAGGTATCATAATTCTCAGCTTCAGACCATGCCCTTGATAGGTTCTCAGACGTTTCGCCTGCCCCGTCAGTGAGTCTTGCCATTCCCATCACGCAGCTACAAGTCGTCAATGAGACTAGAGAAGTAATAGTACAGCAGCTTGACTGAAAGTTGGTCAAGAGATTGCCTTCCCGTGTCTCTTTGACTAGTTGTGCTTCCGTGCTGAGAATGGTAAGACTAACTGATGCCACCGGCTAAACGTCTGGGAATGTACGAAGTCCACGGTCCGATGCCAGGAATTATGATAACCTCTATAGCAGACGACCTCGGACAAGGAACGTCCAACTCTGTCTTTATGAAAACACGACCAAGTTGCGAAACCGAGGTCAGATCAATTGGTAAGAAACAAGTCTTGGGCCAATTAAGTTTTCTAAAGTTGTCTTGACTCAAAAGAAGCTGAATAGAAGTGCATTTATGCAAACCCACTTTTGCTTATGCACTGTCGTTGAATGCGCCCCCTGGTAGAGGGGAAACCTTTTAACCCTCAGAAACTGCCGCTTTGGCATTACGTGGCAGCGACCAAGTTGCATAAACGAGGTCAGGCCACTTCTATACATCGAAAGGAGGCTTCGACCACAATACAGGCCACAACATCTTGGTCTACATGTCTGTAATCCTTTCCAATTTGCCGTTTCAGGCTCATGACACTAGATTGTAGTGCAGCCGTTTGGCTTTTATACTCTGATAACTCTGATTTAGGACCGGTATTGCGTATAGACGCTAACACACACATGCACCCACGCACACATTCGAGCAAAAGTAGCAGAACCAGTATGAAAGATAATTAGCCAAACTCTCTATATCTATCTATCTATCTATCTATCTATCTATCTATCTATCTATCTATCTATCTATCTATCTAT